AGAGAGAGAGATAGAGGGAGAGAGAGAGAGAGAGAGAGAGAGAGAGAGAGAGAGAGAGAGAGAGAGAGAGAAAGAGAGAGAGAGAGAGAGAGAGAGAGATGCCCAGCATCTGGTACTTAGCAGGGTTAATATATATATAGTATGTATGGGTTGTTTGATTAACCCAGTTTAGAGTTCAAAATTGTTTCTGACTAGTTCAGAGATAGATTCAAATTCTCCTTTTGATACTCAGTGACCAGTGAACCTGGGCAAATCACTTAACCTCCCTATGCCTCAGTTTCCCTCATCACTAAAATAAGAATAATATTTGAAGTGAGCACTACATGAAAGTAAGCTAGTGATTTGCCACGTAGCTAGGAATGAACCTGTTTTTCCTCCAAGAAGGAGAAGTCTCTCTTAGGGGCTCTGATCTCCACTAACTTATTCTCAAGTCTGATGATAAAGTGCATATGTGTAAATTGATGGAGGAAAATCCTTTTATAATAATAATAAAAATGATACCAACTGAAATTCTCATTGTGTTTTAAATTTACAAAATGATTTCTGTAAAATTATTTCATTTCAGCCTCAAACCAACTGCAGGGTGGTGGGGAGAGGGGAAGTAAGTATAACAATTCCCAGTTAACAGATGAGGAAACTGAGACTCAGAGAAGTTAACTGACTTTGTAAGAGGGATTTGAGCCTAAGTCTAGATCCAGCACTATAGTTTGCACTATACTGCTCCTAACTTAGCCCAGCCCTTGGTTTCTCTTTCCTTCTTCCATCACTTCAAGCCTTCCAAACCCTTAACAGTATCTCTCCTATCTGGAATCCCCACAACACTGAACATTGCCCTCTGGCTTATGGTCACCAGGGTTCTTGTTACTGGAAAGACATCAGTTGGACTTCCCTTTCCCTCTTGGCCCCAGTGCCTTCTCCCTTCTGAGTTCAGCTACCAACTCCAGCCCACATATTTTAAGGAAACTGATTGGGTGCCAAGTTAAAAAAAATCTATTTTCAGTTTGAAATACCAAAGAAACCAAAATGACAATGTAGTATCTTTCCTCTCAACAAATTTCCCTAATTCTCTTCCCCAATAGTTTTGGTGACAAGATCTACACAGAGAAAGGTCACCATGAATCAGCTTCTTTGGGTTCTGACACTAGTTGCCATTATTAATCTCATTACCTGCTGGTACAACTCAGTACCCTTAGTATGGAAAAAAATAGAATAAAGAATTATAGTAAGTGACTCCCCAGGTCATCTTGACTTACTTCAATTGTCCACAAGATCACCGAGCTTAGAAATATAAGAGACCTCAGAGGCCTCTTAGCCCAATCCCCTCATTTTACAATCGAGGAAACTGAGCCTCAGAGAGGTTAATTGACTTGCCCAAGGTCAAACAAGTAGTAAACAACAGAGGCAGTCTTGTTACTCATGCCCTTTGACTCAAAAGTCAGTGCTCTTTCAAACATGGTACCTTCTGTGTGCCTCAGTTTCTCCAGCTATGACATAGAATGCTAAGACATGTATTTGCAGTATGTTTTAGTAGGGCATTCCTTTATACATCCCCAAATCTTCCCCAAGTGAATTTCTCGATTCTTACACCTGTCAGAGGCTGCTCTTGTAAACCCAACCTGTGGCTTCTACACACCTCCTAGAAGCAGAGAATGCATATAGATTTGTTCTCTCACTTTATTTCTTCTGCAGTCATGGATTTTACAAACAAGGAGGGCAGTTATAAGCCATTTTGCCTAGCAGTAGCTAATGTTTCTATAGTGTTATAAGGTTTGCAGACTTTGTAGTTGTTCATTTGATTCCTTTACGTTTGCCTCTTTGTGACCCCATTGGGATTTTCTAGGCAAAGATATCGAATGGTTTGCCATTTCCTTCTCCAATTCATTTTTACAGATAAGGAAACTGAGGCAGATACAGTTAAGTGACTTGCTGAGGGTCACACAGCTAGTAAATGCTTGAGTTCAGATTTGAACTCAGGTCTTCCTGATGTCAGACATGGTGTTCTATCCACTGTACCACCTACCTGCCCTAGAGCTCACATTCCAATGTAGATCCAGGTCTTCTTGGCTCATTCAGTGCTATACCCACTGCCCTATACTACCTCCTATATTTTGGACCTGAAGAAATGAACATCCTAAGAAAAACAAAGGACAAGATAAACAAAGTTAACTCCCAAACCAGCCCTACTCAGGATCCTGACCAATTCCAAGTCTGGAGAATGCAAGTCAATGAGGTATAAAGAGAAGAGGAGTCTGTTTTGTAAAGCAGGGTGGGTGGGGAGGTGGTAAGATTGAAGTGTTCTGATTTGGGGAAATCCCATCTTTACCTGCCCTACATTTTATTATTTTCACTTGATAAAAGCAAAGGACCTAGTTAAAGGAACATTTTCATAGTGCTACTGGATAAGTGTCCCAAGTCCCTTAGGGACAAAGGGGAAGTTTTCTGGTAGGATGAGATGAGGTGCAGAACAAGCTAATCAACTTCTTCCCTGCATGGATCCATAAATTAAAAAAAAAACCAAGGTTTTTTTGGGGGAGGAGCTTCAATGAAGATGATGTCATTTTCATCTAGGAAGCAACTCTCATATCTCCCCTTTTTCTAATTCACACAGGTACTTGCCTCATTCAGACCCTCGGCATTGCTCACCTAGACAATTTTTTAAACATCTATATGGTGATTTCTTTGTGCCATGCACTGTACTAAATGCTTCCCAATTATCATCTCATTTGCTCCTCGGTCCTGGGAGGGAGGTGCTCTTATTACAGCTCCATTTTACAGATAAGTACTATAGAAAAGAAAAGCAGACTCTCTGACATAGAGAGAAGATGACCCCACCAGCCTTCTGATTGTCTCCCTTGCATCTCTGAGAGCCCTCAATTTCCACAGAATCAGAAACCAAGTGACCCTTCTTCAAACCTACCAGTTGTTAGTATTCATTCAAATTATTTTGTATTTATTTTGCTTATGTATATGTATATGAGTGTGTATTTATATGCATACATATAAAAATATTTATCTGTGGACATGATACATCTCCCTGCCCCTCCCCCCAATCCTCACTCCAAGAGGAGGGGGGCTCCTTAAGTGAGGAGACTATCTTGTTCTTGTTTCTGTCTCCTGAATCCCAGCACAGTGTTCAGCATATTGTAGGTGCTTAATAAATACATGTTGATCCTAATATGTTAATTGGTTCCCTATACAGATGATAACATAATATTCCTATAAAGCACAATCCTGACCATTTCAGTCCTTGACTCAAAAAGCTTCTGTGGCTCTCCATTGCTTCGATGAGAAAATACAACTCTTCCACTTAGCATTTAGAAAGAATACTAGACTTGAAATCTGAAAAATGTGAGTTCAAATCCTGACTTTGCCACTTACTCCCTATGTGGTATTGGTCAAGGAACTTCAGCTCTCTGGATTTCAGTTTCCTTCTCTGCAAAATGTAGATTTTTCCATATCTAGTAGATCTAGATTTCTACATTTTCTACATCTAGTAGATCTAGAAGGCCTTAAAAGTCCTTGACTCTCCAGATCTCAGGAATATATCAAGCAGCAAAATGAATAAACAAACATACAAATAAATAACAAATAAATAATAAAAAAACAAAACAGTTAAACAAAATAGTAATAACAAATAAGCAAGTAAATAAAAAACAATAAAATGAATGAGCAAAAGAATAAACATGTAGATAAATAAATGAAAGAATGAATAAAGATGAATAAATAAATGGATAGATACATAGATAAATGATAGATAAATAGGTAATAGATGGATAGATAGATGATAAATGTATAGATAGGAAGGTAGGTGGATATAGATAGATAATAGATGGGTGGATAGGTAGATAAATGATGAATGGATAGAGTAAAAACTGAGCATGTGAAAAACATGTAAATTGGACAGTTCCCTTGCTTCTAACCCAGGCACTGTTTGGTCATATGTCCTTGGCTCATGGGCCTCAGTTTCTCTAATACAGATGATAACATTGGGGGGATATATATATATATATAGACATAGATATAGATATAGATATAGATATAGATATAGATATAGATATATGCCTTTCTGTCCATGAGTCAGTCTTCAGTTATTTAAATCTCTCTAAAATTTGGTATTTATGGGAACCGACTTCTTAGGCCCAATGTGCCCACAATCTTGCCTTGGACAGTTGCCATCTAGGATCCAAGTCAAGGCACTCAAGCCCTCTAAATCTCAGTTTCCTTAACTATAAAATTAGATTGTTGCACTTGATGACTGCTGAGGCCCCATCTCGCTCTACTCCTATTGTCCCTACTGGGAGCTGGGATGGGGTAGTGGAAAGAAAGCTGTTCCTAAAAGCAACAAGACCTAAAACTGAATGACCCCTCAGAAACTCACTTGTTTGTGTGACCCTAACAAATCACTTCACCTCCCTGTGTCTTGGTTTCCTCATCTGTAAAATGAGGGAGTCAGACTAAGTAGTAGAAATGACAGTAACAAACAGGGGGCCTGGAAGCATTACATGAAAGGATAAGTGCATATGTTTCAGAGTCCTCAAGAGGGAAGGCCTGATTGTCAGCTCTTTTAGTTATCCTTTTTTCCTCAGGCATGCCAAGGGTGATTCACAAGATGGAAGTGACCAGCACCTAACCTCATATTTATCCTACCTTCTATGACCAGAATCAGAGAATATCATAGATGGAAGAGACCTCAGCAGCTATCTAATTCAATCCATAATCAAAATTATAGTCTTACTATGTGACGTGCCTGATGAATGTTCATTCAGCCTTTGCTCAGAAAGCACTAATCAAGGGGAACCATAATCTCACTACCTTTTCTAGCCAGTGCTACCATTTAGAAAGGTTTTGTTCTTTGTGTGAACTGAAATATCCTCTTAGTAAACAGCACCCCGCCCCCATATGTCACATCCTCTGAGGAATAATGATTTTATTCCCAGGGAGATCAAGCCTTATACTGTCAGAAGAGTCCATCCATCAACAGTCCCAATTCAATGACTTACCATAAACACTCAAACACATCCTGCCCTGGACAGGCCCTATGGGAAAGATGTTGAAAATGCATCTGTAGCATCCTTCATCTTTTAAGGAGACAAACTCAAGGGTGATGGCTGAGGAGTTCAAATCACTTTGGGTCACTAGGACATGGTCTTGGTAGGGTCCAAGTAATCTGGGGCCATGGTTGGAGCTGTATGTGGCTATATTATCTGTTGTTTGACCTTCTTTCTGCCATGTGACTTGGAGGACCTCATTCTCTGCAGACAGCTGGCAGGACAAGGTCACATTCTCCCCCACAGTGCTGGTCACTTCCATCTTGTGAATCACCCTTGGCATGCCTGAGGAGAAAAGGACAACAAAAAGAGCTGACAATCACATTGTGTTTCACAAAGCCCTTCCCCACAATATATCTGTGAAGTTGTTAGTGTGAGAATTAGCCTGCCCATTTTATAGACAGAGAGCTGAAGGGAGTGTGGGGCAGTGAAAAGAGGGCTAGATGTTTGGAGCTTGAGGCTATGGACTCAAATCCTGCCTCTGTCATTTATTATCTCATGATCTTAGACAAATTGCTTAATCTCTCTAACCCTCAGTTTTCTCAAATGTAAAATGAGGGGATTGGACTCAGTGAACCCTTGAATAACCTTCTGATTCTAACTCTGTGATCAGCCTCTAAGAAATTCAATTTCTCGACCAAGATCACTCTCTCCTTCTCTAATTTCTAATTCCCAAACCCTTCCCTTTTCCATGTAGCTCCATCTTCCCCAAACCCACTTCCCAACCAGTCACAAATCACCAATTCTTGCCTCCTCAAAGCCTTTCTTAGAACTCTCTTGAAAAGCCTTCAGTCACTCAGTGATGAAAAGAATGAACTGAGGATTTGATCCCTAGGTCCTTTTGTCATTTCTAATTAACAACCTGTTATAAATGGATAATAACTATTATTACTTATAATCTATTATTACAATATTTATCAGCTTATAAGTCAATCAACAACCTTTCATTAAGCACATACTAAGCATCAGGCACTGGACTGGCTGCTGAGGATAAAAAGCAACAAAAATTAAAACCAACCATACCCTCAAGAAATTTACATTTAAGAAGAGATGGCAGATATATACATAATCACATATAAAACATATATTCACAAAATGTGCACACAATATCCTTCACAGTCACCACCTATCAAAAGAAGGTTTGTGCCCATTCAATCCCCAGAGCACTTTAAAAATTTATCAACTTAAAACGTTGATCAGTGCCTAAATAATGTGAACCAGTGCTCATCCCCACCCTCCCTCTTCCACCTGCTGCTAATTTCCCTTTCAGCATTTGACCATACCAGCAACTATGATCCCAGAGATAGAAAGAACCACACACACTACCAGCAGCACCATGGTTATGAAACAAAAAACAAAATTTTCAGACAAATCAAGTGTCTGGTTCAAAACTTCTCCCTTTTATGCTCTATGTGTAGTCTTGTGATTGGCTGGGAAATTCCAGAACTCATGAGGTATAACATTTGGGTATCTACACTGTTTTTTGAGTATTTGCCCTCTGTGACTGAAAATGAGTCAATTCATTTTTCTTTGGCTTTAGTTTCTTCAGATGTAAAATGAAAAAAACCTCTAAGGTCCCTCTGAGCTGTAGATCTATGATTCTATGATGCTATAAGGAACTGTCATCATTATAGATCCAGCCAGGAATTTAAAAGACAATGTAAGGAACCAAGACAGAAATCACCCCCAAAATCCTTACCTTTGAAATCAAAGTGTTCAGGAAGAGGTGCTCTATCAATATAGAACGTAACCTGAAGGAAAAAAAAAACAGACCCAGAAGTAGGGGTGGGAGGAAGATGAGGGAAGAGGAAGCCTCATAAGACATGTTAAATCAGACAATATATTCTCTTTCCCACTAGAAAAGTGAATTTATACTCTTTCTATGACATGGAAATGGATGTAATGTGGTTTAAAATCTGGAACTACTAGGCCCCTTTCCTTAATACTTTTTCACTGATTAATTTTATATCCTTAACCTTTTGTTTTTCATATGAATGTTGTTATTATTTTTTTCTAGCTTGATCAAATAATTTTTTGGTATTTTGATTGGTATGGCACCGAATAAGTAAATTAGATTCTTTAAAATTGTTGGTTTTATTTTATTGGCTCAGCCTACTCATGAGCAATTAATATTTCTCCAGTTTTTTAGATGTGTCATGTGGGATACAGCTGAAGCAGTACTTAGGGGAAATTTTAAATGCTTACATCAATAAAATAGAGAAAGATCAATGAATTGGGCCTGCAACTAAAAAAACCAAAAAAGTCATAAACTAAAAATCTCCAATTAAATAACAAAATAAACACGCTGAAAACCAAAGGAGAGATGAATAAAATTGAAAGTTTAAAAAAACCCCATGGAACTAATAAATAAAACTAGGAGCTGATTTTATGGGGAAAAGTTAAATAAATGAACCACTGGTTCATTTGATTTTTTTTCCAAGAGGAAATTACCAGTATCAAAAATGAAAAGAGTGAATCCACCACCAATGAAAATGAAATAAAGCAATTATTAGGAGTTATTTTGCGCAATTATATGCCAGTAAAATTGACAGTCTAAGTGCTATGGGTGAATATTTACAAAGATATAAATTGCTCAGATTAACAGAAGAGGAACTAGAATACATAAATAACCACATCTTAGGGGAAAAACTGTACAAGTCATCAATGAGCTCCTTAAGAAAAAATCTCCAGAACCAGATAGATACACAAGTGAATTCTACTAAACATTTAAAGAATATTTAATCTTAATACTATACAAACTATTTGGAAAAAATAGGTAAAGGAGAAGTCCTACCCAATTCCTTTTATGACACAAATATAATTTTGATAACTAAACCAGGGATAGCAAAACAGAGAAAGAAAACTATAAATGAATTTTTTAATGAATATCAAAGCAAAAAGTTTATATAAAATACTAGCAGGGAGACTATAGTGATGTATTACACTATGACCAGGTAGGATTTATACTAGGAATACAAGACTGGTCCAGTATTGGTAAAACAATCAGCATAATTGACCACATAAAAAACAATAGCAACAAAATTCATATGATTACATCAATAGATACAGAAAAAACTTGACAAAATACAACACCTATTCCTATTAAAAATACCAGGAACCATAGGAATCAATGAAGACTTTCTTAAAATGATAAGTAGTATCTATCTAAAACCATGAGTTAGTATTGTATGCAATGGGGATAAACTTGAAGCCTTCCCAATAAGAACAGCAATGAAGAAAGGATGTACATTATCACCACTATTATTCAATACTGCATTGAAAATGTTAGCTATAGCAATAAAACAAGAAAAAGAAACTGAAGAAATGAAATTAGGCAGTGAGGAAATAGAACCATCACTCTGTGCAGATAGTATGATGGATACTTAGAGGACTCTAAATAATCAAATAAAACAATGAAGAATTTTAGCCAAGTTGCAGGCTATGAAATAATCATTAGCATTTCTCTACACTACCAACAAAAACATAGGAGGAGGTTAAAATAACTACAGATATAAGATACTTGGGAGTCTGCCTGCCAAGACAAATCTAGGGATTATATGAACACAAGTACAAAACACTTTTCACACAAATAAAGACAGATATAAACAATTAGAAAAATGTTAATTATCATGGATAGACCAAGACAATATGATAAAAAATGACAATTCTGCCTAAGTTAATTTACTTATTCAGTACCATACCAATCAAACTACCAAAGAATTATTTTATAGAGCTAGGAAAAAAATAATAACACAATTCATCTGGAAGAACAAAAGGTCAAGAATATCAAGTTAATCAATGAAAAATTTTGAAGAAAAGTGTCCTAGCACTTCCAGATTTCAAACTATATTACAAAGTGGTAATTATCACAACAATCTTTTGCTGGTTAAGAAATAGAGTAGTGGATCACTGGAATAGGTTAGATACATGATACACATTAGTAAATAATTATAGTAATCTAGTATCTGATAAACCCAAAGAACCATACTTTGAGGGTAAACTCACCATTTGACAAAAACTGCTGGGGAAATTTGAAAAGTTTGGCAGAAACTAGGCATAGACCAAAATTTCATACCATATACCAAGATAAGGTCAAAATGGACCAACGATCTAAACATAAAGGGTGATATCATAAGTAAACTAGAAGAGTGTGTAAAAATATACAGATCTATGGATAACAGAAGTATAGAACTAATCAAGAGATAGAGAGACCATCACTGGAAATAAAATACATAATTTTGGTTACATGACATTAAAAAATTATTGCACAAATAAAGTTAATCCAATCAAAATTATAAGGAAAACCAGAAACTGGGAGGGAGTGGATTTGTAGCAAGTTTCTCTGATAAAAGCCTCATTTCTCTAACATATAGGGAATTGAGAGAAATTTATAAAAAACTGGCACCATTCTCCAGTTGATAAATGATCGAGGATATGTACAGGCAGTTTTTAGAAGAAGAAATAAAGCTACCAATAGTCATATGAAAAAAATGTTCTAAATCACTACTGATTAGAGAAATGAAAATTAATTGAAAATTTAATGAATTTTTAATGAAATGTTTTCATTAAATTTTTTTCATTGAAAAAATTTAATTTTTAATGAAAATTAAAACAACTCTAAGATACCACCACATACCAATAAGATTGGCTAACATGACAGAAAAAGAAAAAAGATAAATCTTTGATGGGATGTGGAAAAATTGGGACACTAATGGACTGCTAATAAAGTTATGAATGAGTCTAACCATTATGGAACTATGGCCAAAGAGCTATAAAACTGTGCATACTCTTTGATCCAGCAGCATGTCTGCTAGGCCTGTATCTCAAAGAGAACGAAGAAAAGGTAAAAGTACCTATTTGTATAAAAAAAAATTAGAACAGCTCTTTTTGTAGTGACAAAGAATTGGAAATCAAGGGGATGCCCATCAATTGAGTAATGGCTGAACAAGTTGTGGTATATAGGTGTGATGTAATACCATTGTGCTATGAGAAATGATGAGAAAGATGGTTTCAGAAAAACCTGCAAAGACTTTAGGAACTCAGGCAAAGTGAAGAGAGCAGAACCAGGAGAATATTGTACATAGTAACAGAAATATTGTCAGGCTAATCAACTGTGAAAGACTCAACTATTCTGATCAAGACAAACTCAAAGCAACCCTAATGAAAAATGTTATCCACCTCTAGAGAGAGAACTGATGAATTCTGAATGTGTATTGAAGCATACTTTTTTACTTTCTTTAGTTTTTTTTTCTTTTTGTCTGTTTTCTTTTGAAATATAGCTAATATGGAAATATGTTTTTCATGACTTCATATGTATAATTGATGTAAAATTTCTTACCTTCTGAAGGAGGGGGAAGGGGTAGGAAGGAAAGAGAGAATTTGAAACTCAACATTTAAAAAAATATTCTTAAAAATCTTCATATGCAATTGATAAATGTTTCATAAAATACATAAAATATTTTAAAAATAAAATTAATCTACATTACTAATATTTCCTCTGTCATTTTCTTAAACCTAGTCTCCATGCCCCACCCCCTCCACCAATTTTGCCCTTCCCCTAGGTAGATGCCCAAGCTCTTTCCATCAATCCTTATGTGACATGATCCTGAGACTCTCCAACATATTGTTTTTCACTCTTTACATTCTCTCCAGTTAGCAATGTCCTTCCTAAAGAAAACAAAATTAAGCCCAGAAAAGAATATAATACTGGAATTGAGATCTCACTGAAGACTATTACACTCTCTTTCTGGATGCAAGGTGTTTATTTTTCTAGTCTAAGATTGAATGAACTTTCTTGGCCATTGATGGCTATTGACTCAAATCAAGCTTTCAGTACAAAATCCCCAGTCCTCTTTCATGTGACTAATCATTCAGTCATGACCCTCCAGGATGAGTTCAAACTCAACTAGTCTACTGCATCTAGTTAACCAGTGGCTCCAGGAGAGAACATCAAGCCATGCTTCATAATTAGATTGTGAGTACCTTGAGGATAGAGACTGTTTTTGTTTGTTTGTTTGTTTGTTTGTTTTTTGCCTTTCTTTGTATCCCTCACACTTGTAGTGCCTGGCACATGATAGGTGCTGGTTAGCTGACTGATGAACTGTCACCCTGGTGTTTCATGTGTACCTGCCTTCTCCTTCATGCTATGGGCAGAATAATGAAAAGTTAAATCAAAAGCATGTGAGTTTGACTTCCATATGAATGAATTTGCTACCCCTCTGACTCCCCAGACTTTCCCTTTCTTGATATATAGATATAGATAGATAGATGTATGTATATGTACATGTATAGTTACATAGATATACATGTATGCACATATATATGCATATATGTGTGTATACACACAGATGAATGACTGGGGAAAAAAACACTTAATAAGCACTTACTGTGTGCCAGGTACTGTGCTAAGTCCTGATGATACAAATACCTTAAAACTGATACCATCCTTGCTGTCAAAGAACTTAGAGTCTAATAGAGAAAACAATGTGTATGTATGTGATACATGCATATATATATGTTTGTGTGTATAAAATATTAATATACACATATGCACAAATACATATATGATACAGGTATGTATGCATATGCACAAATGTGAATATACATAATAAAATTTATACCACATTGTCTTCTCCGTTAGACTGTAAATTCCTTGAGGACAAAGATGGTCTCACTTTAAGGGTACTTGTATCATCAGAACTTAGCAAATGCTTGGAACATAGTTGGAACTTAGTGAGGTTTATTATTATTATTATTATTATTATTAACTCATCTATTCATTCATACATCTTGTGCTTGTTAATTTACAAAACTTATTTTTTTTAAATTTGAGGGGAGCTTAAGGGAAGACAGAAAACAGATCAGTTTTCAAAAACAAACTCATGCAATTTTAATTCCATTCAATTCAACAAGCTTTATTAAGTACCTGCTATGTTTCAGTCGCTATGTTAGGTGCTAGGGTTATGGAGATAAGAATGAAATACTCTCTACTTTCCCAGAGTTTACATTCTACTTACCTTCTACAGCGTCTACCCAGATGAGGAAATATACAATGTGTAAAACATAATTGGCAACAATGGAGAGAGCAGACTAGAAGGATGAAGTGACCCCATGTGCCTCACATGGCACTTGAGCTGAGTTCTACTATCAAGATGAAGGTAGAGACAAGGGGGGGAGGCATGACAGGCATGGGGGACAGCCAGTGAAAAGACATGAAGGCAGGAGATGGAACATCAATGAAGTCATTGGGCTACAATGTAGAGAGCATGGGAGGCATGTTATGTGACACCTAAGGGAAGATAGACTGGAGCCAAATTGCAAAAGAGCTTCAAAGCCCAAATAGAGGAGTTCAGATTCTATCCAAGAGATATTAAAAAGTAATCATGTTAAAGGCAAAAATTCTTGACAGGACAGAGAGAACTAAGGCAAAGGGAGTAAGCCTGGGGGTTTGGTCTCAAATGAGTCCTGTGACATTGAAGGCTACACAGAGCATGGTCTGTATTATCCAGGAATCTCTCCCCCACCCACTCCCACAGCACCTGCTAATTCTCACAAGGAAAGAGTGTTTTTATTAATGCTGTCAAGCTAAAATAGAAACAGGTCACTAAGCCAGACATAAGGATGCCCACAGGTGGAGTATTGACTTAGAAAACCACAAATTGATATTACCTATGTTTTATCGTATTTTAAATTTGTTGTATTAAATATTTCCTAATTTTAGTTTAGTGTGGCTTCAGGCCCTCAGAGTGTCAGAGGCTGCATGCAGCCCACCTGCAAAGTGTTTGGCCCCTCTGCCCGAGGACAGCCGCTAATGCAGTGTTGCTTCAAAATCTGGATTAAACACCCTCCCACTAACACAGGTAACCCTTTGGGCCACCACGCCATATTTTCCACAGGAAAAAAAAAACTATAGAAATTGTTCTTAAATAAACAAAAAAACTCAGTTCCCTAAACAAAGTGGGAATCTCTTAAGGACAGATCCCTGACTATTATCTAACAGGTTTAGGTCCCAGGTCAAAAGCTCTACAAATGTGTGTCAAACAGAGACAGGTGTTGTTTTTTTTTTTTTGTAGTTATCACTATTGTAATCTTGGAAATAACATAAAAAAAATGAGAAGAAATCCTCAGTGTGATGTAGATATTAATAGTGCGTTTGAATAGGATTCAGTTTCCAAAGGGCTTTACATACATTCTCATTTAATCTTTAACAACCCTTATGAGATAGACAATGCAAATCCAATTAATCTCTGAGCCTCTATCTCCTCATCCATAAAATGGAAGTGATAATAACACCTATCTCACAGGGTGGTTGTGAGAATCAAAGGAGATAAGCCAACAAGTTGAATCAATGAGCATTTATTATATGCACCTGGCAAAGAAAGGCAAAAACAAGCCCACATTCTAATGGATAGATCATCAAAGAGCTGAAAAGCACTTTCCAAACTTTAAAGTGTGATACAAATGGAGCTATAGGAGTCAGATTAGCACTGTGGGAAAGGTGGCCGAACCTGAGGTTAGAACACCCGTGTGGCCTTGGACAGCTCACTTCCTCTCTCTGGGTGCCTGTTTCTTTATCAGAAAAATGAGGCAAGTGGACTGGCTGACCTCTAGGGTTCTTTCCAACTCCAAATGTATCTATCAACATTTTCTTTTTTTGTTTGAAAAACAATCAGGGTTAAGTGACTTGCCCAGGGTCACACAGAGAGTAAGTTTCAAGTGTCTGATGCCCGATTTGAACTCAAGTCCTCCTGAGTCCAGGGCCAGTGCTCTATCCACTGCATCACCTAGCTGCCTCTCCTATTTTTATTGACATTTAAGTACATAATAGGAAAAGAAAAAGAAAACTTATTATAAACTTATATATAAAATAAGAAAAGAAAAAAATGTCATGTGCACAACAGAACATGAAAGAGAATTCAAAATATATAGCAATAAATTTCCATTTCAAGAAAGTCTATATATTAAATACTATATGTTGTGTTGAGAGCCGTCCATCTTTTCTTTGACTCCTTGTAGGTTTCCTTTTGTTCTCTGCTATGCACTTTTTACTTTGTTCTTTTTTCCCCCTTCTTCCCCTCTCCCCCTCCCAGGCTATAATTAAGTATGGTGATATTTATATATAGACACATACATATATGTATACATATATACACATATATACATACATATACACATAAACATATGCTTTCCCTAACAGATTCTACACCTAATCTTTGTTTTTATGTTTGTGTGTATCTCTTTTTTCCTATCCCTTCTGACTTCTCTACTTTACTTCTACTCCATACCTTGCCCTCCTATTACTTAACCTACCCCCACCTCCAATGATCCTTTTCTTATCCTTCCATTCCCAAATATCTGAACACCCTTTTATATGCCCCTTTGACTTATTCTCTCACCTTCACCTCTAAAGATCCCTCCCTTATCCTCCCATTCTTATTCATCTAAACACCCTTCCACATTCTCCTTTAACCATTCCCTCACTTTCCCCTCGAAAGATTTCTCCCTTATCCTCTTCCTCCCTCCCTATCCCCTTTGTATTTTATTTCTTTCTAAATTTTATACTTTTCTAGATATGTACGTATTGTTCCCCTCTTAGATCCATTCCTGATGAAAGTAGATTTCCAGAAGTATCAGCCCACCTTCCCCCATGTAATTTCTCTGGATCAGTTCTTCCTCTCACACCTCATTTGTATAAGATAGTTACCCTTTTTAGCTGTTCCTGAATGGCTTTACTTTTTGAAGTCATATCATGCTCAGGTCCAACCCAATCTTTCTTATAAACTATGCAATCACTAATAACAATCTTAAACATATGTTTTGCATTTTTCATAAGTAAAAGGCAAACTGCTTGTCTTTATTGAGTCCCTTGTAATTAGTCTTTGGTATGTACCTTATGTTCCTCTTGGATCTTGTATGTCAAATCTTCTATTTAGTTTGGGTTTTGTTTCTTGTCAACCTCTTCTTAAGTCCATCTAATTTCCCATTATCCTTCCCAACTTCCACTGCTCACACAATTGAGTCACAGGGACTTCCAGTTGTTTCTGAGAAGAAGCTTCTTGAGAAGGAATCTAGCCCATGTGACTTCACCACAAAGATGCTAAGATGCTGCCTTCAGTGAACTGTCTCTGTCAAGTAAGGAATCTGAATTCATGTCTTCAGACTCCAAGCATGCTGCCCTCTCCTGTGTGTTTCTGCCTCAATGTGAGCAGTCTACATTTTCCCTCAAATTAACAGAGAAAAACAGTCATAGAAAAGAAGAAGCTAGTTAAAAGAAGAAGGAAACTGATATAAATATAGTATTCAGATGGTCCCTGGGGGTTTTTGTATAGAATTACTGGAAATACTGCAGCTGAGAAAAAATACGTATGAGTTTGAAGAAACAAACAATTTTCACTTTTGTTCCTACTGCTGTCTTGTACCACTTTATCACACTTAGGTTTGTAATCTGCCACTGAGATGTTCTTGAAAATATCTCAGGTGACAGAGATATTAATGCTCATTGAGTCCAACCTAAACCTGAACAAGAATCTTCTCTGAACATGCCAAGCAAGTGGTCAATGAGCTTCTACTTAAAATCCTGCAGGATAGGGGTTAGAGTGATGGACTAGAGCCAGCAAGACCAGGCTCCCTGACTCTTACTAGCTGTATGACTTTGGTCAAGTCACTTAACCCATCTGAGCCTCAGCTTCTTCCTTTGCAAATGGGGAGAATAATGCCTATAATCCCTACCTGGTGGGTTGTTGTGAACTTTAAATGAGATAATGGATGTACAGCACTTTGCAGATTGTAAAGAGCTTTCTAAATGTCAGCTATGACCATCTCTGAAAGCAGCAAATTCCATTTTGGACAACTCTCACTATTAAGCTGATTTTCCTTACATGAAACCAAAATCTGCTTGGCCACAGCTTCTACTTCTTGTTCCTAATTCTGACCCTTGGGGCAAGGTTGACAAGCTTGATTTTTCTTCCACAAGACAGTCTTTTTGATATTGGAAGACAGCTACTATGCCCCCTCACTTTTTTCCTATAGGCTAAACATGCTCAGGGTTAGTTACCTTTGCTGATCTTTGTAAGACAAGGTTTCTCATCCCCTCACCATCCCCTACCATCCTTCTTGTCCTGAAGTTTATCAACAGCTATCCTACAATAAGACATCCAGAACAGAGCACAATATTCCAAAGTAAATGGGACCCTTCAGTTATATGGAACTTACGGTGTCCAAAAGACTTTATATAACTTGTCTTATTAGATCTTCAGTGATCCTTTCAGATGAAATGGGCAGAATAGGTAATTATCTACATTTTTTCCAATGAAAACATTGAAGTTTGGAGTCGTTATATAACTTTCTGAACCTGACCGAGGGGAAAAAACAAACAGATTCTAAGTCTGAGAAGGAACCTCAGACACTAACTCCTTGCCTGAATAAAATCCTTGCTACAGGACCCCAGACAATGCTTACTTCTCCTCCATTTAAAAATCTCTACAGGCAGGTAACAAGAGACATCCAATTACACATTTGGACAGTTCTCTTTCTTTAAGGAAGTGGTCAAAATGAACAAACAACTGTCAGAAGAAGAATTGCATATGATTGCAAATGATTAACAGCCACATAAAAAAAATCAACTCAACATCACTCTGTGCTAAGGGCACTATTACACATTCAGCATATTGACAAAGGTGAGGAAAGATGGGAATAATGTGTGTTGGAAGGTTGTAGAAAAAGAGGTGAACTACTGTTGATGGAGCTCTGAATTGGTCCAACCATTTTTCAAGCAACTTGGAATTAGGCCAAGAAAGTGACAACAAATTTCTTACCCTTTGATCCAGAAGAGGCCAATAACAAAAAAAGGCAGAACACACATACTCTCAAATACTTACAGAAGCACATTTTATAGGAACAAAGTACTGGACCCATAGTAGATGCTTATCAATAGGGAATGACTACACACATTTTACAAATAAGAAAACTGAGGCACCAGAGGCTAAATTATTTACCCTGAGAAAGGAATAGAATCCCAGGTCTTTCGGACTCCAAGCCTACTTCTTTTTCCACCATATTACAAGTGAAAGTAATGGCATATTGCTGAAACAATCAATATGATGAAAGGAGAAAAGAACACTTACATCAACTGAAGCAGAGTGAAGTTAGTAGAATCAGGAAAACAATACACACCATGAAAATTTAAATAGAAAGAACTACCACGACAAAATACTTGATATAATGACCAAGCTAGGTTCCAAAGAAGAGATAGGTTAAGACACCTCCCCCGCCTCTCTTTACAGTGGTGGAGGACAAAGTGTATGCCATACTGCTTATAATGTCAGACCTTTTCAATATCCTCCTTAGTTTTGCTGTACTGTTTCTTTTTTCTCATTTTATTTTTGGTTATAAGAGATAGTTTTCTGGGAAGAGAAAAGAGGATCCTTCAGAAAATATGTGTTATATAAAAACTAAAGTTATCAATAAATTGTTTTAAGTCATCTGAGCAATATTCACTTTTTTCCCTAGTTCTTTCTCATCTCATGAACACAATTGTTCCACTAATTGTTATTTGACTACTTGAAATGGTGCAGGTCTTATTGGTGTGGGTGTTTCTATCAGACTGAATTAACTGGTAGGTTCAGTGTGGTATAAAGAAAAACAAAAAAAAATTGGTTCTAAAATCAAAAGCGGGGTTTGAGTTATAATCCTGACACTTCCCATCCTTTTTTGGCCTTGGAAGTAAATCGTATTACTTTGTTGGGGCTTCATTCATTCATTTGTAAAAGGATAGACTCGGATAGATGCAGCTGGGTGGCACAGTGGATGTCAGGCCTGGAGTCAGGAAGAGCTAAGTTCAAATCTGATCTCAGATACTTACTAGCTGGGTGACCTTGGCCAAATCACTTACCCTATTTGCCTCAGTTTCCTCATCTGTAAAATGAACTGGAGAAGCAAATTCCAGTATCTTTTCCAAGAAAACCCTAAATGGAGTCACAAAAAGTTGGACACAACTGAAACAATTGAACAGATAAGGTTAAATATTAATCCCTGGAGAATGTCACTAATGACTGCCCTTCCTTCAGTTTCACCTCCAGCATTTCCAAATCCAATTATTCCCCTTTCGTCCACAAGTCTTCATTTTGGTCACAAACAGAGGATCTAAGTATACAAGATCAATAGCCTCCTTCTGATGTATGCGAAATTTCTCAACAGCGTAGACTCCCAACCTATGACACAGTAATCAGTAGATAAGTCCTCAGGAGTTTCCTGAAGCATAGATAGTGTAAAAGATTGGCAAAACATCATGGCATCGTGGAATTATAGCTGGAGATCTGGAAGAGATCTCAACGGCAAGGTGCTTATTTAATTCACAGACCTGAAATGTTTGAGGGGGGGGGGCAGTAAATCAGTAAGCAAGCCTTTAGTAAGCATTTGCTATGTGTCAGGCACTGTGCTAAGGGTCGGGAATACAAAGAAAGACAAAAAAAGTCCCTATCCTCAAGGTGTTTCCATTCCAATATGTGAGAAAATTTATAAATGACTAGGTATATACATGAATGAATGAACAGTATTTATTACGTGCTTATGTAGCACTGTGCTCTGGAGGCTCGGGAGCCTTACCCCGTAAAGATGCCCCCATGCTACCGTGATGTGAGCTCCATGAACAGGGAGCATTGAGAGGAGGGCAGTGTTGCCCCCGACCCAGTGAACCCGGTCACCCTCTCCCTCCAACCAGACCCTTCCCTTGCCTCAGGCTCCATCATGATCAAGGCGATCCTCATCTTCAACAACCACGGGAAACCCAGACTCTCCAAGTTTTATCAGCCCTATAGTGAAGATACACAGCGACAAATCATCAGAGAAACTTTCCATTTGGTGTCTAAACGAGATGAAAACGTCTGTAACTTCCTAGAAGACTGCTAATAGGTGGATCTGACAACAAACTGATTTACAGACATTACGCCACTCTGTATTTTGTCTTCTGCGTGGATTCTTCAGAAAGTGAACTTGGCCTTTTAGAATTAATACAGGTATTCGTGGAAACACTCGACAAATATTTTGAAAATGTCTGTGAACTGGATTTAATTTTCCATGTAGACAAGGTCCACAATATTCTGGCAGAAATGGTGATGGGGGGAATGGTTTTGGAGACCAATATGAATGAAATTGTTACTCGAACTGATACTTAAAATAAACTGGAGAAATCTGAGGCTGGCTTAGCAGGAGTTGCAGATCATGCAGTATCCGCTGTAAAAAAATATGAATTTTCCTGAGACGCAAGAAATATTAACATTGGTGACATGAGTATAAAAGTGCCAAACCTGCTCTCTTTTAAATAAAAAGGCTACTCCCAGGTAAAATCCAGGAGGGAAAAAGTCATCTAGGTTTACCATGCAATTGTTTACCAAAAAAGAGAAGAGTCTTAATTTTTTGTTGTTAGATTGATTTAAGAAACGGTATCTTATAGAATCATGTATAAAATCAGTATATTAAGATGAATATTGTTTTTGGCTTGGCTCAGTGATTTTTAAGGAAATGAGTAGTCCCTGAATGATTTTTTTTTCCTAAATTTCATTCGTATGCCCTCATAAGGCAGGTCATGTTGGTTGCTACAGTATTTTGAGAATGTATTTAAGGTATTCCTTTATTATGTACAACCCAAAATATTGGAGCATTTTGTATATTTCATGGAATTCTATGTGCATAACATTCTTTAACTCATCCTGTCATTTGTCATGACTATTTAAAAACCACGACTGTGTTGCTCTAAAATATTCTGTTCTTTTTTTAGAAAAAATAAACTCCAAATTAACTGGACTTCTAAACCACCTATTTGTTTGAAATCTCATTTGGCAATAAATCATGTTTTCCTGTTGCTCAGCAAAATTATAAAAAAAATCTTTTTTATCATTGTTTTAAAATAAGTTGATGTGGTATTGATTGCTACCAAAGTTGTAAATGTTTGAAAACTCACTAACTTAATAAGGAATCCTCTGAGCTATTTTATACTATTCAAGAACAGAATACACTCTTTATTTAGTATAGGGTTTATACTATGCTACACTAACCAAAATCTTATCCTTATACATTCCAGAGAGAAAACT